GGGGATTTGATAGCTGCTTTCAACTACCTGAGGGGGGGTTCCAAAGAGGATGGAGCTCGGCTGTTCTCAGTGGTGGCAGATGACAGAACAAGGAGCAATGGTCTCAAGTTGCAGTGGGGGAGGTCTAGGTTGGATATTAGGAAACACTATTTCACTAGGAGGGTGGTGAAGCACTGGAATGGGTTACCTAGGGAAGTGGTGGAATCTCCTTCCTTGGAGGTTTTTAAGGCCCGGCTTGACAAAGCCCTGGCTGGGATGATTTTGTTGGGAATTGGTCCTACTTTGAGCAGGGGGTTGGACTAGATGACCTCCTGAGGTCCCTTCCAACCCTGATATTCTATGATTCTATGATTGTTATATTTGTATCATTTCTAACCTTGAAGCCAGACATCAAATAGCATCCAGGAAGGGGAATCTGTGACTCTACCTTGCTTATCTATTACTGGCAATGCTTGTTAATAAGCACAATTTCCAGTGAGTGGAATTCAACACATTTATAAGTGCTCAGAAAAGGAAAATCACTCTAGTGTGAATACACAAAAGTGTAAAATGCCAGAGGTCAACAGGATAATAGACCCAGGAGAACTGTTCTGAAATATTTGAATTGTCTGTCTGATCCTGCCGTTATGTGTTATAACTATTCGTATTACTCACTATTCGGATGTTCAGGTGCCCAGACTGAGGCTTACATGGCATAAGGTGGGTACGGTGGTGGATTTATTATTTAATGAGGTGACTCTATCAATGGGTAGCAGAGCAGGCTGCAGATGTCCATTCGTTTCCCAATTTCCATACAGTTAAACACAAGCCCATCTATACCTATTTTTAGTGATTTAGGGTGAAGTCTTCAGCCTGTTACTCACAGGTAATCCCATTCATTTCACTGGGACTGCTTGTGTGAGTGCTCAGCTGTGGGGATAAGGGGCTCCCAGTCTGGCTTTAAAGCTGTTTTTTTTTCAATATTATGCTCAGGGAAACACAGTCACTCATTCATTCTCCTTCCTCTTGAATCAGATCCTACCAGTGAATCCCTCAGAGTCCAAATAGCCTGTTTGGCCTGAAAACTCCAGCTCTGCAATGTTGTGTCATAATACTGTCACCTACTGACCAATGAAGAGTTGTTCACAGAATTTAGGGCATGAACAGCCCGCACAAGCAGATGTTGGAGTGTTCCCCAGGGAGTGTGGTGCTACAAGGCCTGATGCTTCTTTCCCTTTTCATATGTGTCCCCTTTTCGCCCCCCCAGTCACACGTTTCAAGCTGTGCTTCATGTTGTGGAGATAGTTTTCAAACATGAGGCTTTTAGATTATGGCAGTACGGCCAGGCTTGGCGATATTTACACCACGGCCAGAGTTCAGGCTAGGGCGGCATTTGTATCTTCTGTGTTATCACTGCAACCCTGAGGTATTCTCTCATCAGACACCAGGAGACCCGTCTAGTGTACAGATAGCACATGAGCTCTTAAGGAAGGAAGGGCTTGTTATTAAGACACTGTATCGGTGACGAAGAGATCCAATGTCTCCCCTGTGTGACACAGGACACTTAGTCACATAATCTCGCTGTGTCTCAATTCCCCATTTGTTACATGGGGAACCCAGGCCACCCAGTGAATAGTTTCATGCTTTGAGTCAAGACCATCCTACAGATGTTCCCTGGCACTCTTGGATCAGGTCTCCCTGCAGTGCACCTTCATAGCACAGTATAGTTGAGGAAGCAGCGCTATAGGAAACCTTTCGAGCACAGCTGCTAATGCTGGTATGCAGCCATGAAATCATTCAAGACCACAGACGGTGGGACTCAGGGAGTGGGCTCTCCCTGTCTCTTTCACACAGCACAGGTCTCACTAATAGCCCCCTGAACCAAGAAGTCAGTTACAAATAACGGGCCAGATTTACCAGGACATTTTGGCTCCTCTGGTGATGCAAACTGGCTGGTTGCTCTGCCTGCCTTGAAGGACAAGTAAATCTGTCCTCAGAAATCAAGACTGCACAGCTTTCTAGATAATATGCTATTGCTCAAACAGAAGTTCTCGGCTTGATGCAGAACGTATTAGGTAGGTTTTATAGCTGGTGTTATTCAGGAGATAAGATTAGATCATCATGATGGTCCCTTCTGGCCTATGAATTTAAATAAAATAAAATAAAGACATAAGGTAGATATTACATATCTTCATATCATTAGTATTGTTGTATAGTGGCATTCTCTTTGGGTTTGTGTTAGTTCTCGTGTCTGACATTTTGAGAGAGAGTGTGTGTGTTAAGGTTGTTTGGGTGCCTTAACAGTACTTTTTTATGTTAAAGTGTTCAGGTTTTTGTAAAAAGTGTAAGTGTAATTCATTTTGAATTTCCTTAGTTTTGCAGTGCTTCGTTTTGGGATAAGTACAATATCCTTGTAATGTTGTTACTCTTAGATTATTGAGATATATTGACAACCTTAACTCTGTCTTAATGTAGATTTTTGTTTGGAAATTTCCTTATATTTGTTTTTATAAATACAAAAATAATAAGATGGCAGTAAGGCTGAGAGTACATATTAATAATTTAGGATAACATCCATTACCGGGATGTTGTCATTACTCAAACACCAAGATTCATAAACCCAGCAAATTCACAGAGAAGGTCAGACTTTTTTAAACAATGGAACTAATTAGACACACCATTGTAAGATTTCACCAGTGACCCCCAACTCTTGCTATAACAAACTTCCGTGCATAGCTAACTTCTTGGAATAACAATACAGTGCTAGAGTTGTAGGTTATATAAGTGGATGGGAGAAGTTTCCTTCTAGTTGTCTTTTGGCAAATCATTTAAAAATGTGACCATTGTGCTAGTTGTGTATACTAGTGTCTACTGTACTGAAGACTTCATGGAGCAGAGAGATTTTAGTATTGGTCTGTATTACTATGTGAAAGGGGTGCTGTAATGCTGCTGACAGTAATAATCTCCAGCATCATCTGCTTCAACCCTGCTGATTGTGAGTGTGTAGTCAGTGCCCGACCCACTGCCACCGAACCAGTCTGGGATGCCTGTGGGACGTTGCTGGTGTAATAGATAAGAAGCTTGGGAGCCTGTCCAGGTTTCTGTTGATACCAAGCGACGTTGTTGCTAATGCTTGCACTGGCTTTGCATTTGATAGTGATGGTCTCTCCCACAGACACTGAGAGAGATTCTGGAGTCTGAGTCATGACAATCTGCCCACTGGAACCTGGAGAGAGAAATTGGCAGGGTTGGAGTTGGGTAAATGGGACAATGACATTAAAAAACTTTACACTCAAAGACTTCTAAACTCAAGAGTAGAAGTGAATTAGAAAATACCACAAGAACTAGTATTTAAATAAACAAACCACTGCCAATTTTGATGGTTTGTCTCATTCCTTATTAACTCTTTGAACATTGTCTGTTTCTTACTCCGAATCCAAAAAAGCAGCAGCCAGAGAAGGGGAGTCTTTGAGATCATCTTGCATGTGTGTGGTTGGAAATGCTTGTCAGTGAAGCATGTAGTGGAAATGGAACCATTTATGTGTTCAGCAGCTCAGTGAGGGACCATCAGTCATGTGTGAATAGGCAAAAAGAGCCAAATTATATAAATGACCAGATGTTAATGCCAGGGAGGCGCCTTACACTATCTGATTGAAGGTTTCAGGCTGAAAAGTGGCATCAGTGTGCCAGGCTCCAGAGCTGCCCATTATACTGGTGTCCCTGTTCCCTCGACCTCCATGATATGGCCCACGCCTGAGAGCCTCAGGGGGCTGTGTGAGTGGAGCAGGGGGACCTGCAGACCTCTCTCTCTCCAACCCTGTTTACCCGCCTCCCCCAGCAGCTGCCTCTTTTCCATAGGTGTGGCCAGCCAAGAAGCCCCTGGGAAGCTGACTGAACATCACCTTTCTTGGCTGCTGCTGGCTTGTGCTAGCCAAACCCAGTCTGAGCATGTGTGCACCCCATGCTATCCTAGAACAGGTGGTGAGCACCCAGCTGTGTGGTCTCCCCACTGCCCTGTCCGTTGGGGTGCACTCTTCCTCTGGAGCTTCCACACCCTGCCTCTGCCCAGCCCCAACCCTGTTGAAAATTCTACATGTGCCTATTAGTTCGGGTGCATTCAGGGATTTGCTCCCTTACAGGTCTTGGACAATCTGGACCACAAAGTCCTACCCTACTGTGCAAACAGTAGACTCAGGCATTTACAAATCCCTAGATTAGTATAATTTTCATAGGTTCATAATTACTGAGACCTTCCCAGTGGGATTTTATTGAGGATCTATTCCAATAAAGGAGACAACAAGGCCATTTTAGAAACATATTTACAATAGAAGATCAGGCTGAATTTTTTTTCCAGTGGGACAGCTTTCCTTCAGAAAATGTGGATTTGACAAAATCTAAATGTTCTCTGGGAACGCATCATTCATGTTGAAATTTTCAGGGGAAAATGATCAAAATGATTCATTTTGATAAGATCCGAACATTTCCTTTGAATGTGGTTGAAGTGTTTTGTTTTTGTATTATCTTTTTGACATTATATTATTTTATATTTATAAAATAAAGGTCAAGTTGATAACATTTACATGAACATTTTGACTTTCCCAAAATTACATTTTGGAGTTTTCATATCCAGGAAATTTTGAAATTTCAAATTGTCATGCCAATTCGGAACAAGCCCACTCTACTCCTCTGCTCCCAGTTTTAGAGTTTCTGACAATATGAGAATTCCTGTTTCTGATCAGCTCTCTGTAATAATATTAAGTCAGTTTGCTATAAGAGGGAAACATTCTAGACTGAAAGATAGAAGGTGTAACAGCTGTTTGGAATTATTTGTATTAAAACACAAGTAAGTGTGTGTGGTGCACTGAAGTTCAAGACTGGGAAAAGAGCAGAGAAAACTGTAGTGAACCTCAGGTCTCTGTGTATATTCTAGTATCTATGTGATTATCCAAATGCTTTTGGCTGTATGTTCAGAGATGGAAAACGTTTTCCTCTTCCTTCGCATTTGACAGAACATGTGTAAACTAGACAGTTGTATCTGCAGGAAGCAGTAACTGTGTTGCATACAGCAGAGAGGTTTTTGTACTGGTCTGTATCACTGTGAGAGGTAAGCTGTTACTCTGCTGGCAGTAATAATCTCCAGCATCATCAGCTTCTACGCCGCCGATGGTGAATGTGAAATCAGTGCCATACCCACTGCCACTGAACCGGGCTGGGACCCCCGACTGGAGGTTGGTGGCGTAGTAGATAAGAAGTTTGGGAGCTTGTCCGGGTTTCTGTTGGTACCAGTGTATGTCATTGGTAATACTCGTACTGGCTTTGCAATTGATAGAGACTCTCCCTCCCACTGGCACTGCCAGAGATTCCGGGGACTGAGTCATCACAATTTGCCCAGAGGAGTCTGGATAAAGAGAAAAGGTGGGAAGGGAATGAACAGTGACACAATGCTGGATATAACAAGTGTTCAAACACTGAAACACAGTTTCAATTCTCCAATGTGAATTTATAATAAATACAACACTAGAATATTAATTAAATAAGTCTGACTGGCAGCATTTGTCATCTTCTGTCACACTGATGTGTGACATTTTCAAATTTTTTCTTATCTTCTGTCACAATGATATTTCACATTTTACTGTTTTTATTGATTGATTTCTTACCCTGAATCCAGAGAACCAGCAGCCAGAGAAGGGGCGTGTGTGAGATCATCTTGCCTGACCGTGGTTGGAAAAGCTCGTTCATAAGTGAGCCGTGGAAAATGAAATGTTTATATGTGCTCAGCAGCTCAGTGAGGACACCTCACTCCTATGCAAAATGCATGCAAATTTACTGCACTTTTAGTTTCAGCCCAGAGATGTGAAATGTTCATATTTGGCTTATTTCCTGCTGCTCTTCTGTGTTGAAATGATATTGTGGTTTCTGAGATTCAGATGCTATATATACAGATGTCTTTGCAGATCTTATGTATATTTGAGCAGATCTGGCATGTCTCTCCTAAATATTCACTCTGGATGTGCCACCAGTGTCTGGGCATGAGCCTTCATTTCAACCCTATTCATCTGAACACACTCTGGATGTCACTGATTTTGTGCCCTAGGAAGGCACCTTGTCCTTCTTAAACAAAGCAGTAATTCCCAAATGGCTGGCCTCCTCATCAGAGTATTCCCCACAAATCACCCCCAAGATTTGTCTAGTCACCTGAGAGCTCTAGCAACAGACGTGCTAAAGAACCTTGGGCCTCATTTACAGATGTACTAATGAACAGATGCTGTGGGTGCTTAGCACCTACATAAGAACAGCCATATGGGATCAGACCAATGGTCCATCCAGCCCAGTATCTTGTCTTTCGACAGTGGCCAGTGCCAGATGCTTCAGCGGTCAGGAACAGAACAGAGTAATTATCAAGCGATTCCTGTCGCCCAGTCCCAGCACCTGGCAGTCAGAGGATTAGGGACACCCAGAACATGGGGTTGCATCCCTGACCATCTTGGTTATTAGTCATTCATGGACCTATCCTCCATGAACTTATCTAATTCTTTTTTGAACCCAGTTATAGTTTTGGCCTTTACTACATCCCCTGGCAATGAGTTCCACAGGCTGACTATGCATTGTGTGAACCGCGGCCACTGTGGGCAGCCGTGCCTGCGGACGGTCAATGTAAACAAACCATCTTGCAGCCCACCAGTGGATTACCCTGATGGGCCACAGTTTGCCCATCAGTGCTCTATAGCCTCTACTTGTAACAGTGGCCACTCAGCGTGTTTAACAAAGGTCTCTTTCCTACAGCTCTGCCTGCCTATTGCGTCACATACTGCTGACGGGTGTTAATAGCAGGGGATCCTGCTTTTTGGTCAACCACTTACAGAGTTCACTTGACTTCACCAAATAACCCATGCCCTCTAAGTGCCTCCCAATCTCCTGCCTTTTCACTGTTAGGTGAAATATTTTGGCAATATAGCACAAAACTATCCTCTGATCCAGTGAGAGCGATTCTATCATAGGTCCTGCCTTAGACTGTTATGCACCCTCCCAGCTGTTATCCCATTGGATGGTATATTCACTCCTGAAACTCTTTTTTTGGACTAAGATTTCCCTACTCTGGGAATAGTGTTGGCTTAATTTAGTGTGAGTGAGTATGTAGGTCTTCAGCTGTGCTGAATGGGTTCAATGATAAGAATATCCCTACAGAGCATGAGCTGATGCAGGGGCTGGGATCTAGCTCTGTGCTTTGAATCAGGGAACACTCATTGATTGTTTAAAGGGAAAATTACATGCATGACACAAGGGAAGATATGTCTAGTCAATAAGGGATCAGAGTTTTCACCAGGGCTTTGGAGCGGAGCCCGGAGCTGGAGCGCGGAGCAGCTCCGGAGCAGTGGAGCTGCAGGTTTTTGCCTGGAGCTGGAGCAGAGCTGGAGCACAGCTCCAAAGCCCTGGTTTTCACTGATAATTGTGTGATTTGTTTGTTGTCAGTTATATAATTAAAAATGATTAGTCACAACTGGGATGTTATTCACCAAGGGCGGGTGGGACAGGCATCTCCAATGACTGGCCATCGTGGGCCCTTTACTGACCCAAGATTTTTTCACCAGAACAGAAAAAGAACTTTGGGAAAGATCCATTCACCTTGGCTAGAGACAGGAACAATTTGTGCTCTCTCTCCGTGAATTTGGAATGACTCACAGCTTCAGTGACATGGACCATATTGCACAAGGGGAACTGGAGTAGGACAATAATAGTGTTCTTAGGAAGGAGAGACAATCAAACTGTCCCAACTCCAAATGCTTCCGGGACAGCCTCTTTTCTCATCAGACACTGTTGGTTTAATATTGTCCTGCTGAGTTAATGTCAGACTAACTCCAGTTTGCTGATTGTCTGAAATCTCTGTTCCTGCAGTGACGTCTTTCCAGTGCCATCTAGTGGCTGGTACCAGAATTCCCCACAGTTTAATCCATCAAAGACTGCCCAAGCAAGTATTAGCGCAGGGGTTCTCAAACTGGAGGTCGTGACCCCTCAGGGGGTCACGAGGTTATTACATGGGGAGTTGTGAGCTGTCAGCCTCCACCCTAAACCCCGTTTTGCCTCCAGCATGTACAATGGTATTAAATATATTTAAGTCTTTTTAATCTATAAGGGATTAAAGTAACTGGATTTGGGTGCTTGAAAGCACTGATATCTGTGATAGTACATTTACCATGAGAGCAGATTCTGATTTACTTGTCCTGTCTAGGGCTCTACTCCTCAAAAAATCCTATTAAAATCATTGGGACAGTTTTAAAAGTAATACTCAACGTGAGTCAGGTTGTCAGAATCTGGCCCTAATTGAGGACTGTTTTCAGGCTCCATAGTGGGGATGTGGAGACATTTCTCACTGAATATAAAAGGAAACATGCTTGAAAAGATTCTTTAAGGAAAGTGACATTTACAGTTAAAAAGTCAGTTTGAATAAATGAGTCTCATTTTCTCCTCCCTGAGTCATCTGCATGAAGCCCTGTGTACTCCGTGGTAAGGTCGACCTGGATTCTGAGGCAGATCCTGGATTCTGTGGCACTCTAGTAGAAATGCTGTTGCTGGTGGCTGGTGAAATAAGAGATGTTCAGTGTATTAAAAATAAAAATGAATAATGCAGTCAGGACAGTAACCCCTGGAATACTTCCCTGGGGGCAGGAACTTGGCTATAAAGTTCTATATAAATAACAGAATAATGGGCCAAATCATGAGTCAGTTTTGGAGAATGGGAGTTTGCCTGAATGAAGACCAAGTAAAAATTAGAATAATGAATAATGTAAACTGTGAGTCATGTCTAAAAGCAGCAAATTGGGTTGGCTGTAATTTGTGGGGCCATTTCATCGGTTGCATGTGAGAATCCAGGTGGGTGCTGGGTGTTCATGGAAATGTTTGTAAATCCTGAAAGTTTCGTAGATTTTAGCATGAAAATTGGTCATTGAAAGTGCCTTATTCCGCAGGGGCTGATCATCACTTGTCATTCACTAATCTCCTATTCGAAGGATACAGCCATCTGTACAGCGAGCAGAGAAAATACCCCATAAGTCATGTGACCACTCACCATGAAGAGCAAATAGTGCAGGGGGAAAGCTTTTATAGGACCCATATGCTAAAACTTGTCTGCAGAAATCATTTGGAAAAGACTCAACAATGAATAACTCACAAAAAACAGCACAGCAACAAACAAAAGGCCTATGAACCACTGAAGCTTCATTTAAGCCCTGAAAATGCTGCTTATGCTGCCTTGTGCCTGGGCAAATTTTACCCCAAATTTGCAATAAATAAAATTCCCCATGACTAATGAGACTAGCTCCCGTAAATGCTGGCTAAGGAAGGATCTGAGGAGTGGCCCAGCAGTAGGAAATGTATGAGAATTTCTTACAAACAGCTCAGCTGTAATACTCAGCTGTGGGCTGTAATACTTTGGGCTCAGTTCGGTTGTTGGTTTAGTGTGCGGGTGCCGGGTGAGTGTTGGTGGCCTGTGATATACAGGAGGTCAGACTGGAGGATCTGGTGCTCCTTTCTGGCCTTAGACTCTGACTATGACAGCTGTATCTACACACATAGCAGGCGAGGCTGCTGTACGACTTTACTTTGCTCTTGTTCCCATTAAGCAGTGACACCGTTCAGAGAGTGTGTCATGCTTTCTCACCGTTTTCAATTTTGGAATCAGTCAGTGACCCAAGATCCTTCCTGATTTGATTTGCCGTGAAGGTGGCGATGGTTGGACACCCGACTGTGACACCTGCGGTGAGGAGCTCAATGTGGTCCATGGAGAACAGGGAGGTTTTTGTGTTGGTCTGTATCACTGTGACAGTGGCCAGTCCCAGCCTGGCTGACAGTAATGATCTTCAGCGCTGACTGCTTCAACAGCGCTTACTGTGAGTGGGAAATTAGTCCCAGACACATGGCCACTGAACTGGGGGAAGCTGCAGTTTGGAGACATGCCTGTAGGGTCTGATCCAACACCCACTGAAGTCAGTGGCAACCCTTCGTTAATGTCTCTAGGCCTTGGATTGAGCTCGAAGAAGCAGATTTTCAAAAAAGCACAGTTCCAATTTAGGCACCTAATAGGAGTGGCTGGGTGGCCCATATTGGAGACGTGTGGGCAGGTTTCCAACAAACCTCAACATCTAACATGCTGAACTCTTTTGAACACTTATTTTGTGCCTAAATGGGAGATGATCTCTTAGGTTTTCTCTTCACCCTCTGTGTCCAGACTAGAAATGACAGTGGGAATAGTGGCAGAGTTGTGTAATTGATTTCCTGTTTCTTGTTTGTTATGAAATCTGTGAAGAACATGCTGCAGTGACAAACACTCAGCACTGTGCACTCACTCAGGGAGCAGGGCCGCCCAGAGGATTCAGGTGGCCTGGGGCAAAGCAATTTCAGGGGCCCCTTCCATAAAAAAAAAAGTTGCAATACTATATTCTCATGGGGGCCCCTGTGGGACCCGGGGCAAATTATCCCACTTGCTCCCCCCCTCCCCCCCCGCCCGCCAGCGGCCCCTGGGAAAAATAAACATTTAAAAACCTTCCGCATCTCGGCACAAACCCAGTTTTGAGAAAACTTCTTTTCACGTCACCTTTACAAGGTATCACTGGTTCTCAACATCAGCTAGTGCTAAAAGGCACTAAAGCTCATTAAAAGGGTTGGACAAATATTTTCTGTCAAAACTTTTTTTGTATCGAAAACTAGGGGTTTTTAAAAAGCAGAAAAAAATCACGGAGAATGTCTGCTTTCTTTCAAAATTTGTTGTGTTTTTTTTAATTGAAACGCTGAAATTAGTCTGCCAAAACCTGAACATGGTTTGGGGTTTCAGAAGTGTGTGGCCAAATATTTGCTGCTTGCTGTGTTTGATTGTTTAAAGAAACAATAAAAAAAATTCTGCTTAAAAAAAATCCAAAACTTTTGAACCACCTCAGCTTGTGACCAAACGCCAGAGCCCATCCAGTCAGGGATTTTTCCAGGTTTCTGATACTCTGCTGGCTTCCTTGACTCATATCTGTCTCCATAACTTTGGGTTAATTTAGCTTAGAACATAAGAACGTAACAATGGCCATACTGGGTCAGACCAAAGGTCCATCCAGCCCAGTATCCTGTCTACCGACAGTGGCCAATGCCAGGTGCCCCAAAGGGAGTGGACCTAACAGGCAATAATCAAGTGATCTCTCTCCTGACATCCATCTCCACCCTCTGACATACAGAGCCTAGGGACACCATTCCTTACCCATCCTGGCTAATAGCCATTAATGGACTTAACCTCCATGCATTTATCTGTTTCCTAGAGACTGGCTCCATGGGGTCCCTCACAAACTGGAGATGGTTACTGTGGGTTTTTCTTTAGTATAGCTTATGTACATACTCCACGAACTGAGCATTTGAGCTAGTTCCAGAATCTGGGATGAGCCTAGGTTGTGAAAACTGAAATGCTCAAAATAGCACATGCATGTGAATGGACACAGGGTGCTAAAATTAAATTAACCAAGGGGGTCTCAAACTGGGGGTCGGGCCCCCTCGGGGTCACGAGGTTGTTACTGGGGGTCACAAGCTGTCAGCCTCCACCTCAAACCCTGCTTTGCCTCCAGCATTTATAATAATGTTAAATATATTAAAAAAGTGTTTTTAATTTATAAGGGGGGTCACACTCAGAGTTTGCTATGTGAAACGGGTCACCAGTACAAAAGTTTGAGAACCACTGAATTACCTGAAGAACCTCTGGAGCCTCGGGGAATGAAGGGGAGAGGGGACGGGGGTCTTCCTTGGTAGGGTGGGGAAGGAGGTAGGTGGTGTAGGATATTGCTCTTCTCATGTTATCCCTCCCCCATTGAAAAGATAACAGCTTGGCACTTTGTGTTAAATAGCTGTCTGCAAGCCTCAAACTGCTGAATGAGCTTTAGGGTAGGGAAGGCTGTGTCTCCCCAAACAGCCTGGCCCTGCCCCCTATCTGACTCCCATCCACTTCCTGCCCCCGGACTGCCCCCCTCATAATCCCCGACCCATCCTGCTCCTTGTCCCCTCACCGCCCCCCCAAAACACCCTCCCCAACCACCACCCTGGGATCCCACCCCCCGCGAACCTCCCCGTTCCCTGTCCCCTGATTGCCCCGACCCCTATCCACCCCCCTCAGAGTCCTGACAGACCCCCAGAACGCCCATGATCCAACCCCCCGTTCCCTGACCGCCCCCCCAGAACCTCTGCCTCCTCCCTGTCCCCTGACTGTCCCCGGGACTCCCTGCCCCTTATCCAACCCCTCCCCGGCCCCGGCCCACTGCCATGCTGCTTACCCCTGCCTCCCCCTTCTCCCGGGGACTCAGTGTGCACATCCAGGAGCGGTCTGGACAGCGCTGCAGCGATGTGGCTCCAGTGGGGCCTGAGCTCCCGCCGATCGGCCAGGAGCTCGGAGCCCTGCCCCCTCACCACGCGGCTCTGAGCGGGGAGGAGCTCGGGCCCCACTGGAGCCACGCCGCTTTAGCTCTGTCCAGGGCCGCACCTGGGCTACCCCGCCTCTCCCCTCTCTCGGAGTCTCAGCACACCGCGTCCAGGAGCTGCCCTGGCCCCTGGACAGAGCTGCAGGAGCATGGCTCCAGAGGGACCGGAGCTCGCAGCCCTGCCCCCTTACCATGCGGTTCTGAGCGGGGAGGACAACACAGGAGAGCTCTGCAGAGTCTCAGGCCTTCCACTATTACAGAAACACAGACAGGAAATCATCCGGACGGACATCAGAGAATTCAGTGGGAAGATTCCAGCCTTGACTCACTTTCTTACCACAGTTCAGTTGTTACTCTCAAATAACAGGTTCTTGCTCAGAGTGTGTGAGACTCAGTTTTTGTTTGCAAATGTGATTGATGGTTTATAAAGGTCCAGCCACTGCACCCACCCCGTCCCGGATAACCCTTTGCCATCCAGGAGGCTGTATCAGGAGCTCATTTTACAGCTAGGCCTTTGGGAAGTAAGAAACGTCATATTGTTCATGGAATGAGCTGAGAAGGGCTGGCGGCCCGTATCACATGTGACTAGCTGACTGTAACCTAGGTGAACTTTGTTCACACCGCTGTAACAAAGTCCTGGTTTTACGGGTCTGTCCTGCTTTGACTCCCTGCCTGGTAACCACCTGTCCTGGTTGAAGTGGTTCCTTTCCCGCATCGCTGGCTGGGCTTAGCTCCCTGCTCTGGCCATGCAGATACAGGTTCTAGTACCATGTGCTGTCCTAGCTGGACCAGGGATGGGTCTGGTAAGTAACTGAATGGGAGACTGGGAAAATGGAAATGGTGCTGATGGTTTATTAGGAGGCGTTCGTCCCTCTGAGTCTGTACTGAATCCACAATCTCCTGTGTTATGAGGGGGCTGCACGGCAGGGGCTGGTCTTTTGGATGAGATACCAAACTAGAGCCAGGGTCACTTGGGGTCTTCAGACATCCCAAGGCAAGTTTTGCAATAGCAGGGCTGAGGATTAGTACCAGTGTTTTGGAAGAATATAAATGCGGCCCAATAAAACTACTCCTGGAAGTTCTAATGGCATACAGTGAACTTTGGATTCAAGTACCTGGTGTCACTCCCTCCACCCCTGTGGAGCTGGGTTTCAGTGGAGGGTGAACTGATCCCTGTATTTTGTTTGTTGATGACTTTGGGATCGTTGCTGCTATAAAAGTGTCAGGTGTATTTTGAGTTACTTCCTGTGTTTTATTTGCATGAAATCATAAAATTCACCCGTCTGGTCGCAGTTGTAACAAATGATAAGCATCAGCTCTCTCTGTTTACAGGGAGGTTTTTGTAATGGTCTGTATCACTGTGAGAGGGAAGCTCTTAGGGTGACCAGATCACCCAAGTCAGGGGAACGAACGGGCCTGGGCTGCCGATGCCTCCGCCCTGGGGCCGCCGCGGGATAGCACCAGCTGGGCAGCAGCCCAGACGCGACTGGCCAGGGGCGGGGCGCAGCGTGCGCGCTGCTAGGTCCCCGCAGCAGGCCCGGGCTCGGGGGGGTTCGGGCCCGGGCGTCAGAGCCGCAGCCGCCGAGCTTGGCTATCGGCCACTTCCTCCCCCCGCGGCAGTGGGAGCTGCAGCAGCGGCTGCTCCTGCGTCCCGCTGCCCGGGGGGGGAGAACAGCCGCCGCCTGGCCCCGCGGGCCGCCCCCCTACTCTCCCTACTGCCCGACTGAGTCCTGCCTGCACTGGGGCCAGGCCGGACTCTCACTCACCCTGGTCCGACGGTTCCCCTGCGTCTCTGGGGCCTCCCTCCAGCGCTTGTGGAGGGAGGAGGAATGGTGAGCCTGGGGAAGAGGCGGGGATTCGGGGAGGGAGCAAATGGGGGGAGGAGGTGGCGGAGTCGGGGCGGGGGGGGGGGGGCGAGCACTTCCGGGCTCCGGAGCATTTCCTTGTTTGTCCAGTGTCCAGCGCATATCGGTCGGGACGCGGGACAAACAAGGAAATATCGGGACAGTCCCGATAAAATCGGGACGTCTGGTCACCCTAGAAGCTCTGGCGTTGCTGACAGTAATAATCTCCAGCATCTTCAGCTTCAACGCTGCTGATTGTGAGAGTGAAATCAGTCCCAGATCCACTGCCGCTGAACCGGGCTGGGATCCCAGAGACACGATAGGTAGAATCATAGATAAGGAGCTTAGGCGCTTGTCCTGGTTTCTGTTGGTACCAGCCTAAGTTGTTGCTAATGCTGGTACTGGCTTTGCAGTTGATGGTGACTCTCTCTCCAGGCGACACTGACAGGGATTCTGGAGTCTGAGTCAGAACAATTTGGCCATAGGAGTCTAGATATGGAAAGAAAATTCAGGCAATCATGGCACATCTTTAAAAGTAATTAAAACTGGATATTTAAATACACTTTTAATTTAATCATTTATTTAACACTAGTTTGCTAAATAAGTAACATAGTATTATTTTAAACCCAACTTGCATTTTGTTGCCTATGAAGTGTATATAATGCTCACCCTGAATCCAAAGCACTAGTATCCAGAGAAGCTGGGCCTGGGAGAGCATCTTGACAGGTCTCCGTGGGGAATGCTGAACAGCTCACCATACAGTGCAAACGGGACCATTTATGAACTCTCAGCAGCCCAGCCAGGGAACGTCCTTCCTGAGTGAACATGCAAATCAGCTGTTCATATAAATGTGCCGTGTTTTAGTTACGGGGCATTTCCTGTTACTCTTGTGCAGTGTTGGTCTCTGTAACCTGGTGACAGCGACGTATGAGGTAAAAATGCAAGACTGGAGGTTTAATAAATGGAATAACAGAAGGTGCTCTATGGAGAGGGCACCAGAAATATTGCATGTGACCTGGAATTTTAGCAGTTAAAATCTTCCAGCCATTTTTACAGCATTTTTCATATCCGTTTACCTCAATTTACCTTTGCGTTATTCTCCCTGCCATGAAAATATTCATGAATTCTCCCCAGTGCCCTTGCCCAAGGAGATAGATGGGCTGATGTCCTGTCTAGATTCTTTTTACCATAAGGCCCTTCCTTCGGGACAGATGTTACTGGTGCCTCCATGGGTGTGCAAAGATGGGGGTGTGCTAGGAGCCCTCCCATGCAGGGGCTAGACACATTGCTGTCCTTGCACCCACCCAAACCCAAGGGATGTCTGGAGCTAGCACCGCTAACCACCCCAGAACTGACTGTGAGCCAGGATCTCAACCCCCTGCACCAGCCATAGAGATGGCCAGCTGTGGAAGGGAGGGTGTATGCAGCGCTCACTTCAGGAGCAGAACAGCAGCTGCATTCCCCCTGCTTGCCAAGCTGCTCAGAAAAACATTGAGTAATTCCTTGTGAAGCTGCTTCTTCTTGGCCATGCTCCCAGTGCAGATCTGTGCAAACTGGCTTGTGTGGGCCCTTTCTTTGGGGCAAGCAGGATAGAGTGTAGACCTCATTAGAGAGTGCGCATCTTTGTCCCCTCCAGTGACTCTGTAAGAGACTTGTGTTCTTGAGTCCCACTATGCCATAAAGATGCTTAACTCCCTTTGATTTCAGTGGGAGTTAGGTATGTAAATAGCTTTGCGGATCTGGATCTAAGTGCTGAAATCGTGTCTGAAAATGAGGCTAAGGAACCCAAGTCAGTTAGATGTTGGAAAACTGAGAGGAACCACACCTAACTATCCTTAAAAATCTGAGCTCCAATGCTCTGGTAAAGTCACAGCTGAGAACAGTAATCCCCTAGCTCCACACATAATTTCATCTTGATAAAGATTCTCTTTCTGTTTTGAACGGTTGCTTTGTGCTGACTTCCACCCAGACGAGGATGCCTGGTGATGTTGCAGCTGTTTCTTAAGTTTGTTGAGAGCTTTGCAATCTGTGACTGAAAGGTGCCACAACATTGTCTGTAGAGATCAGATCTCCCTGATAACCCTCTGCCATCCAAGAGGCTGTAATAGAAGATCATTTTAAATCTCAGCCTTTGGGAAGTATTGACATCGTATTGCTCGTGGAAAGAGCTGAGAAGGGACGTCATCCTGTTACACGTGTGGCTGACTGACAGGAAACTTTGCAAGCTTTGTTCACACAGCTGGAACAAAGGCAACCACCATGCACACTAGACAGTGGGAAGGTTTTTGTATTGGTCTGTACCACTGTGCGAGGGAAGCTGTGGCCGGCCTGGAGACAGTAATAATCTCCAGCATCATCGGCTTCAACTCCACTGATGGTGAGAGTGAAATCGGTGCCAGACCCGCTGCCGCTGAACCGGGATGGGATCCCAGATGGGCGGCTGCTAGCGCTGTAGATAAGAAGCTTTGGAGATTGCCCAGATTTCTGTTGGTACCAGTGTGCGTAGGTACCAATGCTTGAACTGGCTTGGCATTTGATAGTTACTGTTTCTCCCACGGTCGCAGATAGAGATTCTGGAGTCTGAGTCATCACGATCTGCCCATTTGAACCTAGACAGAAAATTGGTGGTGGTAATAAGAGCAGCAAGAGGATAATTGGCCAATAACATAATCTATGACTCAAGGCCTTACACTGCAGCACATCTTACATTGAAATGTAACAGGTTTTGTTTAATCATAAATCAGGCCAGCATGTAAGAATGAATTAAATAAAATATTGTAGCATTTCCTGCATTTTATTACATTGGTTAATAAACCTGCAAACTCTTGTGCTGCTTCTTACCATGAACCCAGAGAACCAGCAGCCAGAGAAAGTGACTCTGGGAGATCATCTTGGCAGGCGGTGGCTGGAAATGCTTGTCACTGAGCCTTGTAGGGGAAAGCGAAAAGTTTATAAGTTCTCAGCAGCTCAGAGGGGAAATGTCACTTGTGTGAATATGCAAAATGTATGGAAATGTTCTGTGCTTTAGTTCCAGGCAGAGATTTACAGTGATTGCAGGTGGGTTCTATGTTTCATGCTATGTGTGCTCAGTCTCATTAGAGATGGGCATGAGCCAGAACATTGGTCTGATACCCTCTACTGCTTAGAGGATCCAGATCCTGCTCTGAACTTCTCCACTGGGGCCCCGCTCTGGTTATAATTAGTTGTAATATCTTTGTGATTCAAATACTCCTTTACCCGGATTGGGGCTTCAGTGACATCAAAGTGTAACCGGGATGAGTTGTAGGGACTGGAGTTGTTTTGGAAACCAGCTAAGGTCACATTTGACCCTTCTTGTCAGTTTTAAGCAGGTGCTTCCGCAGTCTCTCTCCCTGGGTCACCCGGGGAGCAGTGGATTTGAACACATGGAACAACTAATGAGAAGGTAGAATGATTTTATTTTCACCTGCCGTCATTAGAGTCTTGCAAACATTCAGCTCTCCTGCCCCCTTTTTTTCTTCTTCCACAAACCACGACAGTGAATCCCTTAATGTTCCCATTGGTGTTTCTTTCTGCAAAGCCTGGCATGGAAGGAAACCTGTTTTGCTGCACCTAGTTTAAATGTGTGATTTGCCATGTGTGCCCTCATCATCATGGTCACTAATGTTCAGTTATTAATTTTAGAACCATATGATAAGGAGGCACATCTTCTGGTATTCTTCATCTGTCGATAGCCATTGAAAGTCACATTGATGCTTTGATTACTTTCATTTAATTCTAATTATTTCTGAGAAGCCTTCCATACAGAATGATCCAAAGGGCTCATTGAAATCAATGGAGAGTTTAAAGTTCGACTCTGACTGTGTTTAGACACAACAAAGTCACGTAGGTTGAAGAAAGGATGGGAAGCGGTTAGTTGGTGTGGTTTGTGATATAACCAAAGTCTGTTCTGTCTCTGACACAAGGCGCCTCCAGGGAGGAGACTAAGAAGAGGGAGACTCAGAGGGATACTTAACCTCCTTCAGGGATGGAGAAGAAGAAAAAATGGAGAGTGGGGAATATTCTATCTATAACCACTTGTGTGCTCTTGAGAGACGATACAAATAATGTTAATATTCCTCCACCTGCAGCCTTACAGGTTCAGATACATCTACTGCCATAGACAGACCAGAGATGGGTCTGGTAAATACTTGGATGGGAGACTGCTGAGAAAAATGGAGTTGCTACAGGAAGGGGTGTTGATGGTTTAGTAGGAGACCCTCCTCCCTCTGAGCCTGTACTGAACCCATAATCTCCGGTGGCATTAGGTGAGCTGCACTGCAGAGAGCAGTCATTTGGATGAGACCCCAGACTAGACCCCACTTGGGGTCTTCAGCTACCCCATGGCAAGTTATGCAATAATAGGGATGAATATTAGCACGTGTATTGTGGAAGAAGAGACCTATCAAATACTCCCTGTAGTTCTAATGGGCTACAACAATCTTGGGATCCAGTTGCAGAGTATTGCTCCTGCCACCCCAGTGGAGCTGAGCTTCAGCAGAGGATGATCTGATCCCTGTATTTCTTTCTTTGATGGTTTGGGGATGCTTGGTGCTGTATAAAATGTCAGGTGTATTTGGAGTCACTCACTGGTTTTTATTTGCATTAATTCATAAAATTCACCATCTTGTTGCAGCTGTAACAAACAGTAAGCACAGAGCACGCTCTGTGCACAGGGAGGTTTTTGTAATGGTCTGTATTACTGGGAGCGGGAAGCTGTTGCGTTGCTGACAGTAATAATCTCCAGCATCTTGCACTTCAACAGTGCTGATTGTGAGAGTGAAATCGGTTCCAGACCCACTGCCGCTGAACCGGGCTGGGATTCCAGAGACACGGTTGGTAGAATCATAGATAAGTAGCTTAGGTGCTTGTCCTGGTTTCTGTTGGTGCCAGTCTAAGTTGTTGCTAATGCTGGTACTGTCTTTGCAGTTGATGGTGACTCTCTGTCCAGTAGACACTGCCAGGGATTCTGGAGTCTGAGTCAGAACAATTTGGCCATAGAACTCTGGATATGGAAAGAAAATTCATGCAATCATGGCATGTTATTAAAGTAATTAAAGCTTGGTATTTAAATGCATTTTTCATTTAAGAATTTATTTAACACTAGATTTCAAAATAAGTACTGCAGTATTATTTTAAACTTAGCTAGTATTTTATTGCCTATGAAGTCTGTTCCCTGTTGATACAATGCTCACTCTGAATCCAAAGCACTAGTATCCAGAGAAGCTGTGTCTGCGAGAGCATCTTGACAGGTCTCAGTGGGGAATGCTGAACAGCTCACCAGGCAGTGCAAATGGGACCATTTTTGAATGCTCAGCAGCAGGGCCGCCCGGGGGGGAGCGGGGGGCAAGTGGGGCAGTTTGCCCCGGGCCCCGCAGGGGCCACCATGAGTATGTCGGAGGCTCCCCCCGCCTCGTCTTCCCCCAGCCCCCGGCGTCTCAGCCGGTAAGGGGGCGGGGCTGCAAGCTGCGGCTGAGTGGCGGGAACTCAGGCCCCACTGGAGACACCACGCCGCTGCAGCACTGGATGCGGCGCGCTGAGGCTCCGGGAGAGGGGGTAAGCGGCATGGTAAGGGGCCGGGGCCAGGCACCCCCCCGACGCCATCCCCCACAGCCCTGACCCCCAGCTCCGAGCCCAGCCCCTCTGAGCCAGGCACCCCCCCGACCCCATCACCCCACAGCCCTGACCACCAGCTCCAAGCCCAGCCCCTCTGAGCTGGGCACCCCCCCGACCCCATCCCCCTGACGCCATCCCTGACCCCCAGCTCCGAGCCCAGTCCCTCTGAGCCGGGCACCCCCGACCCCATCCCCCCCACAGCCCAGACCCCCAGCTCCGAGCCCAGCCCGAGCCGGACACCCCCCTGACCCCATCTCCCCACAGCCCTGAGACCAGATCCTGTGAGCCGGGTACCCCCCAACCCAGAGCCCAGCTCCCCACCCAGCCCTGGGCAACAGCAGCACCACCCCCAGGCAGCGACAGCCCATTGGTACCAACCATCACCATCACCCAGCAACAGCCCATTATGTAATTGCAAATGTATACATACCATTAAAGCATTTAATGTTTTTAAATAATGTATTCAGTGTATTTTCAAATTATTACAAATTAATTTTAGAATGTATTTCACTAGTTATTTTTTACATTTCCAAATACATGTTACTATAGTATTGCAACTTTTTTTTATGGAAGAGGACCCCGAAATTGCTTTGCCCCAGGCCCCCTGAATTCTCTGGGCAGCCCTGCTCAGCAGCCCCACCAGGGAACGTCCTTCCTGAGTGAATATGCAAATGACCCATTCATATAAACGAGATGCATTTTAGATCCAAGGGCATTTCCTGTTACTCTTGTATGGTGTTGGTCTCTGTAACCTGGTGATAGTGACTTATGAGGTAAACTTGCAACAGTGATGGTTTTATGAATGGAATAACAGAAGGTGCTCTATGAAGAGGGGACCAGGAATGTTGTATGTGACCTTGTATGTAAACCGTTAATATTTCCCAGCCATTTTTAGAGCAGTTTTCAGATCTGTTTACCTCCCTTTAAGTTTGTTATTCTCCTTGCCATAAAAATATTCATGGATGTCCTTTACTTTACAAACTATGCTTGGTCGAGGGTTTGTCTTTGCAAAACTGCTGCTTCTGCTTGATTCAGACGTATTGCCAGCAGGCAGGCAGGGTATTGCAGTAGAGTCTAGACTGATTTCTTTCACAAGGGCTCTGATATTGGCCACTTATGGAAAGCTGCCCTCATAATTTCTGGAACTGATAATGTGTAGTGCTGTCCTAACCCCCATCACCATTGCTTCAATCTGAGTCTCCAAAGCACGTACTAGATGGGACTTTCTAATGAGTGTTTCCATGTGTATCATTCTAGATACACTATTTCATGTCCCCGACAAACAAAAAATGACTTCAGATTAAGGTTGCTCAGTCATTCCCCGACTTACACACCAGCTATGAAGGAATGCTGGAGCTAAAACCTTAAGGGCCTGATGCAAAGCTCATTGAAGTCTATGGGGGTCTTTCCTCTGACTGCAGTGAGCTTTGGATCAAGCCCATAATTCATAAAGCTGTGGAGACGCTTAGTGAAGATTGGCAATGAACATGAATTCTCATTAGCTGATGGTTATTTAGTATGTGCCCTAACCGAACAGAGACTCTGTGGAACACTTGTGTATTCACTGCAAATTAGAGCCCTTTGATGGTCTTTGGAGATCCGCGGTTTGTCATGGATTATAATTCAGTGGCTGTTGTGGACACCCCATTGACCATGTGTCTGTGATTGGTTCTGTTTGAACTAGGGCTGTGCTGCAATTCAGTTGTCAAATCTTGATATTTGGCTACTTCCCAGTAACTCTTCCAGCATCTGTCTGAGGTGGATGGTTGGGAGGAAGCACCTGCCTGTCCCTGGCATAGCTGTGGCATGGGCAGTGTGGTCACTGTCTTACACTTCTTCCTCCTGGCCTGACCCTGTGGTAGCCCAGCCTGCATTGGAAAAGGATGGGAATTTACAAAAAAGGTGCCGCTTCTTTTTGGTCTGTCCCTGTGACACCAGCTTCTTCTTGTTCTCTC